CCATCTTGCAGACAATCTTATTGACTCTTTTAAGAACTCACTATCATGTTAGTTTAGTTAGTTTAGGTTTAGTGCATAAAAACAGATTATCTAATGTTTCGTATCTTATGCCCGTATCGTTCAAGTCTGAAAGGGATAGCGGCTCTGTCTCTAATATTATTAATATTTACTTTTTAACATTTCAAATATTATTTTTGACATCTATGATAAATCGATAAGGTACATCTGTTCATTTAAGGCAAATATTTGACCATCCATGTATTTTATTTATAGAATTCTCTTATATTATTCTATTATTTACACAGAAACGGCTAGGACATAATTACTTAAATTTGGAATCTGTCTCTTTATAATTAAATAAATTATATGTTATCTGTGTCAAACATTGAAGAATTGGCGAGACTCATAATAATAAGTATTGTTAACAAAACTTTTTTAATTAAAGAAATAATGAAACAGGCGTAACGCCAAAAGATTGACGTTTGCAAAAAATGTTAATATAGTAAACACGTACACTTGTTTTCAACTGAAAAAATACCTTTTTCAGTTGATACCGTATGATATCGTAGATGTATCAACCCGAAACTCAGTTATATTAATATTGAAACTAATATCTATTCCAAAGGAACATAGCAGAAATACAAATTTGAATTCAAATTGTAGAGTATACCGTTTCGGCGACATGGAATGATGACCTCAGACTGATGCAAGGACTCAATGGGCGCTGATATCTCACAGAATCTTACTTCATGTCATAGTATAATATGGAAGACTTATATTCGGCAGACGATTAATAGCTTTTATGACTATGATGAGACTAGGTTCCGAGGGGAGAATTGTTCAGTTTCGAAAATCTCTGGGTTTCGAGTTGATTTTCCATTTGCGACAGCGGTATTTGTGGTATTATCAATATTCTGTATTATACACTACATATAAAAACTTCATTTTAGGATTATTTGATATGACCGCCTTATTATTATTACCTACATCATGGCGTTATCTCTAAATGTATGAAAATATGTTAGTAGCGACCTTATATAATAAACAATTTAAATAAAAATTGTTACTAAAGTATTCAAGTAGGAATAACATAGGGTTCCCCTCGAAGAAAACGATAGCTATGAAAGGACACAATAGGCGATTATTTTCTGTAAAAAATAAATCATAGTACTTAGAATAAATCACGTAACTAAAAACACGTGTTTGAACAGGCTCTTAAAAGTAAATGCGCAATTATAGATTGACGTCAAGAGATGGCGCTAAAAATTGATATAATACTTATTCCATGACAAAAACCATGGATAGCCGAGAATTGTAGTTAGATACAAAGAGTTTACAAAGTACATTTATTAAGGCCCAGCGCTTATTGCTATATTTAAATATAACATTTATAATTTTAAACATTTAAAATCTTTGGTTAACAATTATTTTAATTGTATAATATTCAATTACTAACAATTACAGTTAGGATATCATAGAAGATTTTTATTGTACGAATTATCAATAATTGAAGTTTGGACTTTAATACTTTGTAATACTATATTATTTCAGCGATTACTCAGAAATTATTACATGTAATATTCATGACTTTTATACTAAAAATATGTCGTCATGTTCATTACTAAAATAGAGCCATCTCTTAGCGTAATTATATGATTTATATCAACATATAAATTAGTTTTGGTGATCGGTAATATCTGGTAGATTCGATGAATTTCAATAACGGTTTGCAACAATAATGCTGAATATGTACTTTAGAATTTACAGTAAAAAAAATAAATAAATAGATGATTATGAACACCTAAGAATACCAATTAAATTCAATACTAAAAAACAACGCAATCAGCCATAAATAATCACATACAATTTGTCTAGGAACATAAAGCTTTTACAAAAATATGTTTATTTGGTTCTATGTCTATCTATGACACATCGGTGAAATATCATTGATAAATATATGACAACAATGTAAGTTTTTTATCGACAATTTCATTGGCTATTGAGCAATTTGAAATATGTAGTTTAGTGATAATACATGATAGTTGAAATATATTTTTAATAGTAAATCACTGCACAGGGAAATCGCGATTTTAATATATCTACATTCGGACTGTATTCGTTTTTTCATGTCATCCCTCTACGCTTCAATTAACAACATTAATATAGTAATATTTTCTAAGGGGACATACTCAAAATCCTATTTTCCACAGATAATCGGATTCATATTGAAATTTAATATGTAGGCACAATTTACCAATAGCTATCTAATTAGTATACTGTCTGTTTCTGAAAATCCTTTACTACAGAAAACACTTCAAGTTCCTCAATATGTCAATAAAAATACTCAATATGAAAATGAAAGTTACATGTAAATACAATACCTCTACAAAATAGTATGCCTGTCTCCGTTACACTTACATTAGTAATATTTATAATATAGATAAAAACGAATATTACTTTGTATATTGACAGTCGAGTTACATAATAATATTGTATAAACAATATATCTAGCCATCCTAATTAAAGCAATTAAAATATTATAAAATATGGTTTTGATCTGTGTAATATTGCTTTGAACAGGTCGCTTATATATTAAAAAAATAAATCTCGGGATATGTCATGTTAATGTATTTGATTCACTATGCGTACTGGCATCAGAAAATCATTACGGTTACATCTAACAAAAAAAAATTATATTAGTATAAAACCACTCGTACTATACGTTATGTCTAGTATATATCTAAATAAAAACATTTAACAGGTGTATGTAATTAGCATGTTTTACGATTTCCTTTCAAATTCAGTATTTATTACGATACAAGTGCTTACCACGATACAGCAATGTTGCTGGCACCATACAATAATGTTCAAAGTGAGGTGGGTCAAAAAACAGATAAGTATGATGAATAGGTTGGCCTGTTTGTTCTTCAATGCCACCCGCCTCCACACTCTCGATATAATAGTGGTTCATGAATCTGGGCCAAAATATCGACCAACTGATGTTAGGATGAAAGTTTGTGTTTATATATGCTCATGGTTGATTTAAAAAGAAAATTGGACCCGATAGGTGGCGTTGTTATTTCAGGCAGTATCTGCCGGGATAGCTAGTTCGAAACAAATCAATATTATAAATTATTATAAAAAAAACATGACAGGTAATATTGGTACAGTGAGATATCTTATCAAAATGGTGGAGAAAAGCCAAGTATGAGTCTAAATATTTTTCGGTGTTAAGGTATTGAACCTAAGTAGGTAATATAAGTCCACATCACTTCTAGCTCACTTGGAATGGGTAAGAAAGAAAGAGACGTAAACAACGTTGACATATTTCAAGGTCAAATTTATTGGCTACATTTCACAATACAGTCTCTTCTTGAAATAGTCCTTGACGCCTCAGAGCTGTCAGTGTTATGACATATTCAAATTACCGCACGCCAAGTTTTAGCCAGTCCAGAATTTTAGGGAGTACTGCACGTATCGAATTTGTTTGTGTGCCAGATTTATTGGTATTTAAACAGGAATTGTTGGCTGGCAGATATTAAAACTAATTACAATCTTTAAAATTAATACATTTAAATTTCCCAGACATTAGATAATTTCTTCCAGGACAAGGGATCGGTCGTTGGGTACAAAACTAAAATGTTAATGTAATAATATTTTGTACAATTTGTATGCACTAACACAACATATCGCGAGTAAAATGCAACTATATATCGAAATTATATCTGCTATGGCATAACACCACTTAATATTCCTTTATAACACGACACAATTTCCTTAATTAAGCTATAAGAACGAGTAAAGGCAGCACAACACCTACAATTCAACTAACAAATGATCGGAATTATTTGTAACTTGTTTATGTATGCCTTTTCTATAAATTGTTCATTAAGTAGACAATAAATAGATAGTAAAATATGAACGGATTTATTGAATACATTTTACGCAAAGACTGTTGGTACAAGCCATTTAAATGTGGTTTGAATTGCGGCGTGGTTTGTTTAAATTCAATCGGTTATCAACAAAAAAAAGTTAACCTGTGACCATTCCGAAAAATAATATAATATGTACTATGTCCAGTGTATGTCCTAATATGTCCTGCAAAGTAAGTATACAAAAACAAGCTCGATATTTCCGATCAAACAATATTATCTAAAATATCCGTCAAAATTGTACATAATTATTTAATATATACTGTAATAAAACAAAAAATATTACTGTTGTCCTAAATGTATTATTTTGAAGTACACTATTTCCTAATATTTAGTACAAGGGCCCGTACTCAATATTTCGCTGTGTTTATATTAAAGTTAACTTTCCACCATCTCGAGGATTAAACATCAGCAAGCAAACAGCTTATTAGTGAAGTTAGGTGGAAATTGTAAATTATTATTCAAATCGGTTGCCATCATAACCGGTATCAATAGCACTAAAGTAATACCAATAGAACATTGGTATTGACCTATTGGTCAATACCAATGTTCAATATTCTATTGGTACCAGCAAGGATTCAGAACTCAGACCACGTGAAATTACTACAAGTAAGCTACTTTCGTGATTATTCTTTTTATACAGAGATGTTACATAGAAAATTTGTTAAATTGAATGCAGAATTAGCAGATATTGGATAATACGTGTCTGCACTTACTCATTCTGAAAATCTTCTTCAATATATTTTTTTAAATTGTATAGCAATAAAAGGCGAAGTTAATACACACAAAGACTGGTAGGTAGTTTTGCCGTAAATAAAATATATAATGGATTAGTAATTGGATCTAATATTGTACTATAATAATTATTAGTTGTCCAAAAAACAATTATGTACAATTTCGGCAGACATCATTTCCGCATAGCCCAGTCATTTATTGCTTTAAAACATACTTACATTACTTTGTTCTTTCTGACGTACCTACTTGACAATGTGCACAAACCTGTATATAACTCTCCTTCCCACCAACATACATTACAAAAGACATGTAGTATACATGTTGTGCAAGCATCCTGTTTTATACAAGTTTGTCGTCTTTTTCTTGTATTAACATGATCATACAAGTAAACTACATGCTCTATACAAATATTGCTCTGTACATTTTGAAGCCTTTGTTGTACTGGAAACGGTAATATTGGTAGGAACGAAGTTCTATAACCTAATTTGGTTTAAAACAACCTATGTACATCACTCTCACGGCATTCCCATGCAATCTTATAATCACGAACGCACCATCCATATTGCAACCGTCTCTACAGAATCACACAAAACTTAAAGCATGAAGAAAAAAAATATTTCAACTCTTGAGACTAAAAATGTCGAATTTGTTCCTAAGTATTATATAGTACAAAGTTTAGTTTAGCTTAAAATAATTATATATATAAAATTACAATGTTATGATGGTGTGCTTGATGACGGATCCATGGGCACTGAAGTTGGAACTTGTATCTGGAACAAAAGTTATACTTTTATATTTACTCCACAACTTAGTTTTAAATTTCGGTTTTATATTCACATGCATACAGCAGAATTTTAAGAATTTAAAACTAAGTATATATGATAAATCGAAAGCCATTTTCGTGATTGTTCCCGTGTGCAATAATGAAAGAGACATTAGACATAGACAAGAGATTATCATACAGTCAATAAAGGTTTATAACACTATTCTTCTTTTGGGACTATAACAAAAAAAATTGTGAGCCACGCATATAATACCCAAATTAAACAACAAATACATTGTAACTCCCGACAAACCTCTTAGGCGTTGTCATTTATGAGAACTATGATTTATCCATACCCAATAATTTAATGTCTCTTATAATACTAGCTCTGTCTTTTCTATTTCGTAGAAATATATAATAAAAAAGTCAATATTACCGCTATTTTGGTAATTAAAGTTTTACATTATTTAGACAGGTGAAACCTTCACCTGTATCACGTTAAAGACCGCATATCTATCGTTGGGTCACTCCATAACGAAAGTAAATTTACACGTTGGGACCGGGCGATCACCCGTGAGCACTTTAATTGAAATAAATCTAGGAGTTAAATAATGTCTGCCTCAAATTATTGTACACTAAAAACATATTTAAAAAATAATATAAATAATTAACCATAAAAAAGAATGCTGGTTCCTATATGAAAATAAGATATTTCAATGCGGTCTTTTGTCGGTAAATTTCGAGATAAATGTTTATAAAGATACCTTAGTGCTAGTGGCGTTGTGCGCGTGTTGTGAGGGTCGTGTGGGGTGACCGGGGTGCGCGGTAAACACGCAGTCCGCGATGGAGTCGAGCGCGCGTTCGTCCAGTACGGCCTCCAACGCCGCCGCTAACTCCGAGCTCTCCGCGAACGGGGCCCCGCCCTCAGCTAGAACAAACGTACACATTGAAACCTGATATAAAATGTACATTCGACGGCCATGGTGATCTAGCGGTTTAGCACACCGCTTTAGTTCCGATCATTGCGGGTTCAATACAAACATTTGTATCAATAAGTATGATGGTTTGCTTGAAGCTGAGCTTGTGTTATAGGTATTAGACAACCAATATAAATATTTAGATATGTATTTTTTTGTGGATACATACAAAATAATACAAATGAAACAGCCAACAATACAAACTATCATATCAAAGTCATGAATACAAATGGTACATCGGCCGGGAATTAAACCAGCCATTAAACCAATCATCGATATAGTAAAGCAGCGTGTTACATAGTTAGACCACCGAGACCATCAAATATACGAGTATCAATCTTACTAATATTGTAAATGCGAAAGATTGTGAGTATAGATGAATGGAGATATTTGTACTCTTTTACGCAAAAACTACTGAACGAACTTTGTTGAAAATGTTTACAGTAATATAGCCTATAAATCAGAAGGGGCTATGAACACTTGTTTATAAATTTCATTTGGACACAAGTAGTCCATTTATTACAGCCTAGCTGTGCCTAAGTCGACATTACCTTGATTAAAAAACTCTGTGAATGCTTCATCTGGAATCTGGCTGAGAACGGCGGGATCCAGAATGTCGTCGTGCGGCACTTGTTCTACTTCCACTTCTAAAATTATAAAACATAATGATATAATTACGGAAGCAAGTACTTTTATATATTAACATGATAAGTAAAAAATATATTTGTTTACCTATGATTATCGTATTAAAAGACCATTTGCCTTGACTTAAATCTTATATTCCATGGCTTTTGCTTTAGGAAGATTGGCTGATTAACCGATGTAATGATACTTAACTAAATATTCATTAGCAATAATTTACGAAAAATCTCGGAGTGTGGCGTTAAATGTTCAACTGTTATTAGTGTTCTAGTGTAGTTATTAAAATTATATAATACCTAATTCATGAGAGTTGCTTGCCACGGGAATGTATTCATTCTCACTCAGTGCACCCATAGCGGCATCCTCTGAACTGTCGTACGTTGACGAGTTTGAACAAACGTTTATCTCTGAAATGTAAGAAATACCCACTTTATAAATAATCATAAAACATTCAAATGGCATAAAGATTATAGGAAATAATTAACTAGCCTTTCATTCATATGTTTGAAATCAGTACAATTCCCATCTAGATAGAATCAATATTAATTAATCGCTATATTATCTGACAGTACAAAGATTGTTTCTATATTGATTGTCGCTTAGCTAATACTGGTTAATGTGTATTCACTCATAACAATATTTATTCAAAAGAGGAACATCCAATTTTCTTGTCTTATTTAGTCTGCATTCCGAATGAGTGGTAACATAAAATAAAATATGCCTATTTAAAAGTTCTTATATTAATTGATATAAATAGGAAAAATCACCTAATCTAACAATATTTTATATATTTATATAGAGTTCCTGATATTGTAAATAAAACGTGGTAAGATCATGCGCATATATATAATATTATCTTATTATTATTAATATTATAAACGCGAAAATTTGTGAGTATGGATGTATGTTTGTTACTCTTTCACGCAAAAAGTACTAAACGGATTTTGATGAAACTTTACAGCTTATACATCAGAACAACATGAACAAACACTCCTACTATATAAAGGTATAAATAATGTTTATATGAAGTTTATGACCGGAGCGTACCTGATAGGGCGTGGTCGGGGTGGGGCGGGGCCGCGGGCGGGCCGTGCGGGGTGTGGGGCGGCGTGCGGGGCGGCGTGCGGGGCGCCGGGCCGGGCAGGGAGCCCCGGGGCCGCGCGGGCCGCCGGCGCCGCTTGGCGCGCCGCGGGGGCCTCACCGGCGCCACCCACGCTCGCTTGCGGACTGCCTTCTTCGGCCGACAATCCCGGCTTATTTTATCGTAGTTATCCTAAAATAATGCATGAAATAATAGTTTCCTATACGGCCTAGTTAGGTTGCAGAATAATGTACATACGGGCCTATTTTATTGTTTTATCCTAGTAGTAGTAGTAGAATTAGTAGTATAATTGAGTAGCCCACATATTTGTAATGAAAGTATTAAAAATTTTAGCCTAGTAAAATTAAGATCTGCATTTTATGGCTTATAAATATAACACTTTTATGCAAATAAAATCTTATTCGTGCATGCATACTTCAGATAGAACTCATTCTTGCACTTTGCCCAACTATGTACTCATTTACTTAGTTAATTCTAAGATATGAAAACGCACTCTCTTCCACGCATGTTCTGGACATAGTGGCGTCTGATCCTGCAGCGGTAACAGCGGTTGCTTGCAGCGAGCCCCTCCTGCGAACACCGCTGCACACGCTGCATATAACCGCTGTTCAGGTGCTAACGTCACATGCTTTAAGCAATACCGTCCACACGGTACTGGCTGTTCTGTACATCTCTCTTCTGCACACGTATTTCCTGCTATGTAGTCAACAGTAGCACTCTCGCCTCCAGACCATCCAGTTTCTCTATAAATATATTTTATACAAATGTTACATTTTTATGGGGTGACAGATTAAGGATTTGTTTCAGCAATCATATTAGCATGACAGAGTAACAACTCTTGTCCATGTAAGCAGAGTAACATGCTCTCATGGTCAAGAGGTAGTCAAGATTTATGAGAATCAAATAAATTTTAATAAAATACTATTAAATATTTCAAGAAAAAGGCACTTTTATTGATTATTCTGTTCTCTAATGACATACTTGTTACTCCTGATTATCATAACAATATAAAACCATAGTACATATGAGAACTAAATGTTCTAACTGACTTTCTGACAGTAGAAAATTTTATAAGTTCAAAATAATTAACTGTATATACCTGATCAAGTCCCAAAAAAATACTTAGCGTTAATATAAAAATATATGTTACCTAAGTTTCCTGCGTTCTTGCAATGACAGTAATGATGGCATGCCACGCATTGCTAACAAGTGATTGATTGTGTGAGTTGGCAGATGACTTGATGTACCCTGCTTTTTAAGTTGTTTCTGTAAACAACACATTTATTAAAGAAAACACAATAAAATATCAGAATACACCTATGTCTATTCTGTATCTGTATACTTATGTCATGTATATGAGAAGACAACCTACTGTTAGTTCAGAAAATCATTTAACTTAAAAATCACCACTAACTACTCGAACAAAGCACAAAAAGCCATGCCATATATCACAATTTTTGTTTCTTTGAAGCTATGTGTACACTGATTACTTAAGTGGCACATGTAGAATAGGTTTAGAGCTACTCACCTTGATTGAGGAAACAAGCGCTTGATGATGTGTATGGTTTGGAGTGAGATTAAGTGCGGCGCTAACACGAGCCACATGCCTACGTAGTGCACTCCTCCTCGAAGCCAGTTGCGCGCTGCGACTCTCCGCCGCAGTCTCTTCGACACATACTGGTCCCCGCCCTGGATCTACCATCACAAGTTATTATATATTAATAAGATCAGACCATTGTCCATCACAAGTAAAGATAAATTAGGTCAGACCACTGGCCTAACACAATAATAAAAATAAATAATTAAACTAAGCAGAGCATTGAATATGGCAATTAACATACTACTTTTTAAATTATTAAATTAAGCAATTTATACTATTTGTGAAGATTCAGAAATTGGCAGAGGACAATTCAATATGATCAGTAATCTGTAAAATTGTACCATTACACTTCCTAAATTAAATAAGTAAATTATTGAAATAATCTACTGATATTTGAGAATGATTATTCATCCCAATATCTAAGATGAAAATAATTCTATATACATATGTATTTTAATTATATACTTATTTAACTTCAATGCACAAAATTAAAGTGCACACGGCGGACTTAACACCTTGCGACGTTATCTACCAGTCCACCATGAGTGATGCAGAGAAAGATGTGACAAGTCAATAAACAATATCATATTTAGTTGCTTATAATATTGGAGTAAATACCAAAATCAGGCATGTAATCATCATCACTGCTACTGCTGTCCAATTGCCAGTAATATGATCTGCGGCCGTCAAGAGGGCCACATGTGAACAATTCATCTCCTGGCGCGTGCCAAGTGCCATTGGGTACGGGCACCGCTCGCTGCGGTGGTATCCGTTGCAATGCCTCATGCACCGTGGGTCCACGACCGCGCCGCGGTTTTGATTGCGACGTTTTACCTGTTATGATAATTAAATACTTTGTTAAATATTTGCACATTGAAATGCTATATGGTTTCAGCAACTTTAAAAAGAAATTTTATTAGTATGTATTTTTTTATAAATAATTTATAGTTTTTTTGGGAACCTCTATTGTAAATTCTCTGTTTTTGCAATGAATATTGAGTTTAAACAGTATTTCATGAATTATCTTTGGTGATTTTCTTAACCTGTTAACCAAGCGGGACATATAAATATGACAAACATCAAACTTTTATGTATGTGTAGGACATAATATGTATACCTACATTTTTTAAATTTCTGCTGCGCCCTGGAACCTGGAGCGGGTGGAATATTTAATATCAAAAATATATACATTAAATTATATTGTGCTGACATACTGACACATCCTAGTGAGAGACAGTGCCCATTATATGCTGCCTAATTATAAAAAGAATTACCCAGTTAACAGGTTAAAGAACACCTTTATTACACAAAATTTTATTTAATTTCATTCAGACATTTATCAAATACCTATATATATATATATATAACATATAAAACACATATTAATTTCAAAATAACAGTTTTGTGTTCTAATATATACTTAAATATATTTCTGTATACATTTTATTACAGGGGAGTATCTCTTGATTGCAAGATTATCCACTGTAAGTACTAAGACATTCAAACAATTAAGAATAATTATTTACTTTAAAAAAATATATATACCTGATTGTGTTTTCTTAACAGGAGCTGAAATTTTAGCTGCAGGTTTTGAGTCTTCAATCTTAACAACAGGAAGACCATTCTCAAGTAAACCTTGTTCTCTCTTATAAACATCCAAAAAAGTTTCATTTCCTGTCTGTTTTAGAGCAGATGCAGTCTTAACATTGTTGGAACTAACACTATTAATACTGGTTTTCACACAAGGAGTTTGTCCTGCAGTTACATTTCCACCCTTTGGGCTGTGAACACTTGGGCAGCGCACTTCACTAACTGCATTTACTCTAGGCTCTTTCATTGCCTGATTATGACTTTTAGTTTTTGGAACTTTGGTATTAGTAGTCTTACTATCTTTATAAGTAGCAGTCAAAACTGGTTTTGTAATTGATGTATAGTGACCATTAGAAACTACCTCTCTCTTTATTTCTTGTTTAATGTCACCATTTGTAAGTGTATCTATGAGATCTAATTCTTTACTCGGACTTTCTACTACTTTACTCTTAACATCAACATTATCTGAATAGACAAAAGCATCTTCTGTGTGACTTACAGTTATTTCACCTGCTATGACATCTGAGTCATGGAACGTGTAGAGTTCGTTGGGATCTATTTTAAATTTGGTATGAAAGAAATTGTCATTCAGATGAGTTATATAATTTTGCTCATCTCCTGAACTATCATGTATGAACATGTTGACATCAGCCCCTGACACGCCCTCCACTGCCATTTTATACTGCGAGGCGCAACTTGCGTCAGATATATTTTGGGGAATGCCACTGAAACTATAAAATGAATACTTAAATGAACTTATCATCTATTTCAATTATTATATCTATGTTCTTTTTTAAGATCATTTATCATCATCTCTACTGAAAAAATATTTAAATAAATGTTAATACAAGTTGTAACACATTAAAGAGAGAAATGGAATTTGGACTTTCAATCTAACTAGAAAATCATTTTTAACTTACTGTATAGTACTTAATATTATGCTTTCTTGATAAAATAAGTATATACTTCCATGATGCATATTTATAGCAAGAGTTACAGTGAAACATTGGGAAAGTTAATACTAAGCTAAACATATTTTATCATACAATAATAAGAAATTGTAAGATATTTCTACAATTTTATACAAATCAAACAACACATTGTTGTTGATAATATATTTTTTTTAATCCTTTCATATGGCATACCTCTTTACTCTAAGAGTGAATCAAATAAATGTTAAGTAGAATACTGACTAATAACAAAATATCTTAACACTATAATTTGTTTACGCAGTTACTCACCCCACATTTTCCGATGTACTCAAATAAGACATACTGTGTTCATTTTACAACTTGTAGGTAACAAAAATTCTGCTAAGAGTTAATATTGCAAAATCAATTTGAGCTATCTGTATCATACTGAAATAATTAATTATTTCCTTTATTCACAAATAACTAACTTCTTAATTACATTTGAAAACAAAAATATAAATATTTTCCTTTGGAGTGAGAAATATTAATAAGGTAGGTACCAAGGTATTACAATGACAAATAGTGACATCTGTCAAATGAGTAATAATTCATACTTTTTTTGTTTTTACTGCATGTCTCGGGTAACAGGGGACCACCATGTATATTTAAACAAGATACGTGTATGATAATTCAATTAATACTTTACAAAATCATTCACAATAAAACATTGATGTTGTTTAATTCTTACATGATAATTTATATAATTTCCAGCACATTTTAACTTTTTATTTAATAGAAACTATTTTTAAATGTAAATATTACGAATAGAAACTTATTTTGTACATAAATTGGCCTGAAAATGCTAAAACAAAATAATTTTATTCCAATAACATTAAAAGAATGACAGATGAAAGCAAATGGCAGCCAAAATGCGGTTGCGTTCAGAAATAAACTTGACAGAAATTTAAAAATTGTTTCAATTGTAATACATTTATCACACACACACTTATCTAATAGCCAGTTTTAAACACAATTTATTTTCCTATACGAAGTTTAAGACATGACAATAAAATTACTGGGTATTATGACTTTACCATTTATTTCGATTTGATTTAAAAAGACGACTTAAGGTGAAAGTTATGGCAAAATGAAAATATTCCATAAAATTTTGAAAAATACAATTCTCTATTTATTTGAAATATTGAGAATGAGGAAACTGTTATGATAGTAATTAACACAAATATATGATTTTTATAAAAAAAAAATCTAATTCGCAGTTACCATTTTCCATTAAAAGCAATATTTGTTATTACTTCAGCTGATGATAATAATGAATGAGTCTTGGCAGTACACTGATATACATAGAAAATAAAAAAAAAATGTATCTGAATCACTAACTTTACCGAGTATGTAATCACTATGTCTTTACAGAATTGTACTGTCAATGCCACTACATCATGTATGTTTCTGAACGTTAGTAGAAAGTAAGTATCGTGTAGTTAGCCTACCTACTAAAAATTTGTTATGATTAACATTATTATTTATAGTATATTCCTTGTGCTTTGTAAATATATAAATCCATTGATTTATCTGTCTTATTATATGGATAGAATAATCGTATGGAGATTTAGAGGACTAAAATTTGTTTAGTAACATAGTGATTTTTTAACAAATTCAGTGCAATTTAAAATAGGCGCCCTTTTTGTTCAATTTGAAAACCCCATTTTCGAAGCGTTGTTGTGAATCCAATATGGCGATATTTGATGTTACACTATTTTGAAGGTACGTCATTTTGACGATTGTATAATGCTAATTCCGGTAAATATCTATTTTTTTTAATATGTACTAATAACGATTAGGAATGCAATTATTTATATTGTATTTCTGAATGTTTTTGTGTGTGTAGTGAAAGGCGTACAAGTTGTATTGTTTTGTTTGTGATTTTCGATAATTTAGTGATAATTCCATTGTTGCAATAAATATCATTATTTATTTACATAAATGTGTTAAAATTCAGGTAGTATTCTTCTGAATCATTGACTACAGGTGACGTTTTATCATTATTGTGTCGTTATGGATACTTATTAAATAAAACAAGATCGAATGTAATTACCGTAATTAGGATTGTGAATAAGAATTCGGTGTGATCATATGAAATAAATTTTAGTTTCAGAAGTGCATATGATTTTATACAAATGGGAGTTAAATAATCTATTATTCGGGTGCAATAGATTAGCGCCTTGATAATTGATTCAATTGTTGAATATACTCGTTAGAGCGCTGACTATCATGACAGACACGAAACGAAGGGTAAAGCTTTACGCTCTGAACGCTGACCGACAATGGGATGACAGAGGAACGGGACACGTTACGTCGTGTTGTGTGGAAAGATTGAAGGGTACTGCCCTGCTGGTGAGGGCAGAATCTGATGGTTCCCTTTTGCTGGAAAGCAAAATACAACAGGATACAGCATACCAAAAACAACAAGACACACTTATAGTTTGGTCAGAAGGTGACAACTTTGATTTAGCACTAAGTTTTCAAGAAAAAGCAGGCTGTGATGAAGTTTGGGAAAAGATATGTCAGGTGATTACTTAATTCTTTAAAATCCATATTTATACTTTTAACTGCACTTACAATTTATTCATTTAATGTACCTAATTTATATTTAAGTGAAATATAAATATTATTCTTTCACAAACTGTACTATGAAACATTCACAATTTTCAAAAGGATAAATATCTTTTTATCTATTATTTGTTAATTGTATATGCAACTTATCTTTCTCCTATTATTATTTATGTAATAAGTTAATAAATGATTAACATTTGCTACTACATATTTTTCTATTACTACATTTTGAGGTTATTACATTCTGATAGAAATGTGGTGTAGAAGAAATGAGTTTGCTAATAATCTTAAAGTTGAATTCCCTTAATTCAACTTTAAGATTATTAGCAAACTACTTGTTGATTTTATACACTACAGTGAATTTTTACCTGAATATTATATTTGTAATTATAAATATGAATTGCATTATTAATATACAAACAAAATCTTAAAATTTTAGGTGCAAGGGAAAGATCCATCAGTTGAAATCACACAAGATATTGTTGAAGAATCAGAAGATGAGAGATTTGATGAAATGTCAGATAATGTACAGCCAGTAGAGTTGCCAACATGTGAGATGGGACGTCTAGAAGACATCAGTGAACTTGTCAACAGTTGCTTGGTGTCACCTGCACGCAAAGACAAACTTGCAGCTGCATTAGAAAGCCAGCATTATATAAAAAAATTACTTAATCTATTTCATATGTGTGAAGATATAGAAAATATTGAAGGATTGCATCATCTTTATGAAATTTTCAAAAGTATATTTCTTCTAAATAAAAATGTGCTTTTTGACACAATGTTTGCTGATGACACTATATTTGATGTGGTCGGCTGTTTAGAGTATGACCCGAGTTTGCCACAACCTAAAAAGCACAGAGAATATCTTCGGGAACTAGCAAAGTTTCGTGAGGCAATCCCTATTAAGAATCAAGATTTGTTAGCGAAGATACATCAAACATACAGAGTACAGTATATTCAAGATATTGTCTTGCCTACACCAACAGTTTTTGAGGATAATTTGCTTAGCACATTATCTAGTTTTATATTTTTCAATAAGGTAGAAATAGTGAAGCTTATAGAAGAAGATGAGAAATTTTTAACTGATTTGTTTAAACTTCTTATGGATGACAAAACTCCAGACACAAAGAGACGTGACTTAGTTTTATTTTTAAAGGAATTTTGCAATTTTTCACAAAATCTACAACCTCAAGATAAGGATACATTTTATAAAACCCTAGTTTCACTAGGCATTCTGCCAGCATTAGAGATAACTCTAAGTATAGATGATCAGAAGACGAAGACTGCATCTATAGATATTTTAACTTATATAGTGGAGTTTTCACCCTCTGTTGTGAGGGATTATACATTACAACATGCTAACAACACAGAAGAGGTCAGTATTCGAATTTTATTTGATTATCAATTGTATCCTACTGCTTGGTCTAAAAATATTTCTCCTAGTTGTAAATCTGTAATAATGAGAGAGACAATAATTTTTATTTTGGAAAATCTATTTATATTTACAATCAAGATTGTATATTAATCTGCTTGGCCATAGTGATAAATGTAGTAGTAGGCTCGAGATAAACCCTTATGAGACCAAGGGTTTATCTCCATAAGTAAATAAACCTTTATTCTCTTGAGAGGTTTATTTTCATATAATAATAATATTACTATTATTTAAGCATAATTTATAACCTTAAAAACTTTAGGAAACTATGTAGTCTTTAAAAAAATAAAAAAAAAAATGTGCATTTATTCAAGAATGAGAATGTATTTAAAATAAAAAGAATAATTTTTGGTCTATGAACAAACCATACAATTATATAATTGGTATTTTTTATGGACTAGAAAAAAATAAGAATGGGTTTTTTCATAATTATAGACGGATATTATTAAATGATACAATATATGTTTTCAGGAACATATGCTGCTAAACATAGTAATAGAGCAAATGCTTCGGGACCGTGACCCTGAACTTGGAGGTGCAGTACAACTGATGGGGGTGTTACGTATTCTCCTTGATCCTGAAAGTATGCTTGCATCTGTTAACAAGAGTGAAAAGGCAGATTTTCTTAATTTCTTCTATAAACACAGTATACAGACCCTTATAGGTAAGGTTATTACTAATTTAGAACTTTAGAATGTAATAACAAATTGTAGTTGTTTGTAATACATAAATATATAAGAGTGTGTATGTACCATCTTTTAAAAACATTATTTGAGAAATGATAGAATATTTGTTGTATCTACATTGTGTAAGTATTAATTTATTTAGATTTCATCAAAGACATAAAAATAAATGAATATTTAGAACTCTAATGTTTCTTGTGGTTATGCATGCTTTGACATATTATATTATATATTCTCTTTACTTCAATATAACATAAAGGACATGTTAGCTAATATTTGGACTAAAAATTATGTACATGTAAAACATTTTATTATGTTTATATTAGGCTTGTTATTTAATTTGCTTCTTAAATTTTATGAAAACTTTCCAATCTTCTGTCAGTCTACTCTATAATTAATTTTTATTTATTTACTCCTCATTTAAATGAATTGCAATTTAATGCACCAGTTTGGTATGAGTATATAGATTGTGATATGAAAGGTAGGAATATACTTTGTACTTTGCACTGAAGAAAATTTTACTCCTAACTTACAACAACTCAACAAATAAGTATTTTAGTAGTTGTGTAGTTTCCGGCATAAATTAAGTGTTATTTCACATTTGCAGTTGCAAACCATACAAGTGTACATCTGCGACTCTCAAATGGTTTATATATACTCGCTAACCCATTTATTATAATCTGTTGAAATTCAGAACTGTCAAAAACAATAGGTTAATAAGACTGGTTTCCATGGAGATAATAATGAAAAACCTTGAAATACCGCTAGTAATCAATACAAACTATTCACTTAGACATTATATATATTTTTATAGCTCCATTACTAGAAAATACGACAGGAGATAAACCATTGAGGGAAGATTATCACACCGTACAACTATTGGGACTTGTCTTGGAATTACTATCTTTTTGTGTTGAACATCATACATACCATATCAAGACCTGCATATTGAATAAGGTATACATTTATATATTTTATTATATGACACTATTCCGAAGAACTAAAATGTTATGCTCCTATGCAATGATTGCACAAATTATTTTAATTTCTTTTCTATTTTCAAATGTTGTCTAATGGTAAATAAGCTATTGGCCCAAGTGATGGAAAATTGCAATTGTCATCTATCGTCCTCCACGTGAACACCATGGACATACAATTAACAGAAGTAACACTTATTTAATAAATTAAACCTTATTCATTGATTTAAAAAAATTACCTTCCTATGACACAACATTTTGTTAGTGTATTTGTTACTAAACATTATATAACATAAGAACTTTACTATTAGATTAGAAAAAAAACAAATAGGCCATTGTTTCCATAATAAATATATTTATTACCAGCTGTACCCGCGACTTCGTCCGCGTGGAATTTAACAAAAAAGTAAAACAGATAAGTTTTCTAAAATAAAAGTAGCCTAAATTACTCCTTATCACATCAGCTACCTGCCAATAAAAGTCCCGTCACAATCGGTCCAGCCATTTCAGAGATTACCCAGAACAAACAGACCGACAGACACAGACAAAATTGTACAAAATATTATTTTGGTGTATGTACCGTATTTATACTCATATGCATGTAGTAAATGACGGTTATTTCAATATTACAAACAGACACTCCAATTTTATTTATATGTATAGATTATTATTAAAATTATTATACTTTACAAATTTCAGGATCTTCTACGCCGCATACTTGTGCTCATGCGATCCACGCACACATTCCTGGTGCTGGGCGCGCTTAGGTTTATGAGGAAAATAATTGCGCTCAAAGATGAATATTATAACAGGTACATCATAAAAGGAAATCTTTTTGCACCCGTTGTTGATGCATTTCTGCGGAACAATGGCAGGTTAGTTACTTTTTATTAGTTTTTATCTAAATTAACACATTTACATTGTACTAACTTTTAATAACCCAATATGTTTCTACTGTTGATTTTTATTTATTAAAAATAGTGTTCTCACTATGAAATTTGTATAGACTTGGAGTTGACTTATTTTGAATATAACCAAACAATAAAAAAAGGAGTGACTTATGGTATTGTGGAAAAAATCTCTGTTAATCTGATAATGGATATACAAATAGTTGTCATGATTCCAGAGCCTTGCGTATGTGTATATGTGGTATTTTATTTATATAACTGTATATATTATATTTATATGACTTTTTTATATTGCAGATATAATTTACTGGACTCTGCTGTATTAGAATTATTTGAATTTATCAAGTTAGAAGACATCAAGTCACTTTGTTCGCATGTTGTGGAAAATTATGGGAAAATCTTAGAAGATGTGGAATACGTACAGACATTCAGAAGTTTAAAGATGCGGTATGATCAGCACCAGGACAAATTAACGAAAGAGAGAGAAAGAGGTTTGTATGGCGTTATCACCAATTATTAAAAAAAAAGCTAAATTCGATATACATACAGTAAAATCGATATACATGACTTCACAATAAATATACTTACTCTTAGAAAAATATTAACGATAGAAATGAAGAAACTCTGTACAGTGAGATTTTGCAAATATTTGACAAAATACTTAAATATAGTTTGAGTCTCAAACCATCATATAAGCAGTTGCATATTGCTTAATGTACACAGTATAGACATCAATAAAGTGTTTACATTTGTTTATTGATTCATAAACGATTATAATGCTCTGCACTAGAAAGACTAAAGTAAATGGTTTGTATTTAAATTACTCTAGTTTTAGAGTCAAACAAAAACGATGACGAAAAATAACGAAACTTGTACGCTTATTATATTGTAAGTCCTCTTATAACTTACAAATTTTTAGCAATTAAATTTGAATATGATGAACCTGTTGTAAATGCTTGTTGATATACTTCACAATGTTGATGGATTATATGTATGTTGCCATCCAGTTAGCGGCAGTGTGGGTGTGGCGGAGGCGGTGGTGCCGTCATTGCTGCGTACGCGGTATAGGCGCGAGGCGCGCGCGCCCGACGACGAGGAGGAGATGTGGTTCAATGACGAGGACGAGTTGGACGACGAAGCGCCGCTCGACGCCGCCCAACCGCACGCGCATGCGCACGCTCACACGCACCACTCCCTAGACGCCATCGGTGATTATTGCCTTTTTTATTTATTTATTTCAGACAATTTAATATTGTTATATAACAATATTGCCCGTTATTATATATACATTAAGGACTAACTTATATAGAAAATAATATTATATTAATATAGACTTTGTGGTCCTTACAATCACTATGGAAATCTGCCACGATAGTGGGTATACAAAACTCCCTTCGGTCTGTAGTCTTCCTTCATGCATGCATAGCATGTTGCAACCTTTATTTTACTGTTCACAAGGAATTTTAAAATGTACATAAGTTACCTTTCAATTTATTCCTTATGAGAATCTGAATGAACTAGGTCAAAATATGTACTACAGATCTCTCTACAGGCTCCGGGACCTTACTATATAATACATCTTAAATAATCTTAAATAATATAAAATATAATGCTCATTGTAGCATCTAGCGTTGTACTTCTGTCCTATTCCGTATTCTTGAGTATGATTTTATCGATCTTGGTGTTCTCTATTTATAATATGTATGTATTTTTATCAGTTGTAGTAATTATACCTCAAGCCCTGCTTAGCTTGGGACTAACTAAACTACTAACTTGGGATGGGGTGTGAATTGTCCTGAGATATTTTGTTACTATTACATATGTACATCTATGAACTAAATATATGAAAAAATGTAATAATAGCCATTTGTAGCCCAAAATAGTTCACAGGTAATTACTGATTATTTGTATTTTCTCACTATAAACAAGATATTTATAAACATAGAAAGTTTATTAGTTTGAGAAATTTGCTTATTAAACCGCAACATTTCAATGTTATTTCAGGGAAAATTGTGGAAAAGAAAGTGTGCTCAAGTCCAGAAAACGCAAACGGTCCGAGCAGAGTGTTACTGAGCACGACTGCAGCCAGCAAGCCTACGCACACTGATGTTCAGGTATCTTCGCCCAGATTACTCAATAAGGTAAACTTTGATTTCCCTCACATCCTCTGTACCTGCTTTGCTGGGATACATCAATATAAAATGAACATAATATATTTATGTCTAATGTATTATCAGGGATTGTGAACATTTTATAATTAGATACGATTTTAGACTATAATATACTGCATTTATATATGTTATATAAATTATTTTATTGCCAATTTAGTATCATATACATATATTTATATTTGGTTTATATTTAATAACTGTTACTGATATTTTTATGTTATTTTCGTAACTGAACTATATTTTACTAAACTAAATGACGTTATAGGCATATTTAATTTATTATCCATCATATTATTTATATTGTAATTTATTTTATGAATAATAAAGTATATAATTACTTTGGTGTATATGATACCTCTTGCATGCCTCTGTTCGTATCATTATAATTATAACTTTATGTAAAAAAGGCTTATTACATGTGACTAAAAAAGGGCTTAATGAAATCTACCGATATATTGGGTGTGGTGGAGTAACACAATTAAAATGTAAAGTACATTTTCATCCTTGTACTCCACAATACTGTGAATTAATCTTAAATTAGGCAGTTTCATCAATGAGGTATTGGTTATGAGCAACCTATTCAGTTATGACATTTTATTATCTCTAAGATGTAATGTTCTAAAATAAATTATAATATTGACATATCAGTACTTACTACAATGCACATCCGATATCTTATATAGTTATTAACGGTGGTAAGCTGTAATATTGTCTATTTGCAGATTTAATAAAACATGTTTTATTCTTTTCAATGATATATTTCTAATTAAAATAAGACCAAAAAAATGTATTTAGGTAGATATTTCTTTAGCTTTGCTATAATTTAATAGACAGTTATTACTTTAAATTGTCGTTACTTCAAGACTTTTCTTTGGGCATAATTTTCATTGCAATTAAGAGAATAGTATGTTCAAATAAATAAGCATATTACGGATTTAATACACATATGGCTTTGTTAAGTCTGAACCATAGTGCAAAAATATTTTTTTGGACATATTTATTTGGAAATATTACTTAAGAGTTTAAATAGATATAATAAACCAGTTATTGATTATTATTTGTAATTTTACACATTACTCTCTGAGTCAACATATCCTGTCCATGTCAGTTTATCATGAATGGCCAAAATATAATTCCTGGTATTGACTATTTGAGTGCACCGAACTGTATATTTAGTTCTGGTTTTCTATAATTGTTTGTTGTGACAGGGTCTGGTGGATTACGACGGGGACTCTGATGAGGAGGAGGAAGGCGGCGGGGGCGGAGGTGGCGGCGGCGGTGGCGGCGGCGGCAGCGGCGAAGAGCGCGACGCCAAGCGACCGCGCCTGGCGTAGTGCTCGCGTGCATTCCGCTCTCCCTGCATACTAGTTTCAAGGAATATAACTGAGCTCTCCGCCCCGCCTCGCTACTGTGCATTACCCAGTGACGCGAAGGAATACCGTAAGAAAACGTTGTGGTATTCCAGGAATAGGGCGTGTTAACGAGATGACAACACGGTTTGACTGAGCTATATAAACAAACATTGAATTTTCTTCATATGATGTTGTGAGAGAAGTCATTCTTGTTTTGTATCAAAACGTGATGTCGAGTCCGTGGATCAGATTATATGGATTTTTATTTTGTATCTAGAAATATTGAGACAAAACTAGCATTAAATATGTGTTAAATATAATATCTGGTGAGCCATATAGACGGATCCATCTCGACTTATCATCTCTTTAAAATACCCTCGAACAGGGATGCAAGGTTGTGTTAACTAAAGATAAAAATTCTAATGAAATTAATTTCATATGTGAATTTTTATTTTTCTATTTTTGGTAATTTATTATTACATTTATTTATTATTCAAAATGTGTATGGTGTAATTGGAGACCAAAAATTTACATGTAATAGTCAATTTTATGTGTGAAATCTGAGAAATTAGTTACTTGAAAAAAAAATACTTTAGAATTGTTTTAGTACGTTTGATACAAAGCTAGCATTTTCGAACATCATTGAACATATGAAGTTAATGCAACATTGAGAGTCCTACACGAATAGCTGCTAGACTGTACTTTTAGTCGGGTTACGTCCATTTTATGTAAATAAAACTGAAGTGTCCACTTCGACAGTTAGTAAACGTATGAAGTTCTTCATACATAGTATAATTACTTTAAATGGTAACAGAATGTAGAACAAAATATTGATTATGATATATTTAAATGTGAAATAATTTAACGATTAGGTTACTTTGCCGGCAAATCATAATCACAAAAGTACAAAGATAAAATGTGAGTGAAAACTACACATATAATAATAATACAAAGTGGCGAATGCGAATGTATAAAAAATAATTTCGTTTTACTATATGACAAGACCAATCGTTTTTACTATGAATTCAACAATATTGTAATCATTGCTGTGGAATTGCTACTCACTAATGTGTTATATATGAATAAAAGAAATAAATAATATTTTCTCAATAATACCATGGAATTTAGTTAGATTTCCGGTAGTGGAACCTTAAATAAGATTAGGCGATCACATCAAGTTTTGTAATACAATTTTATTATTTCTACCAATTATCCTTTATTTATTATTTACTCATTACATTGGCAACAAAGTATAAAGTGCATGAAAAATTTGTTTAGTCTGAAGTAGAATTATCATTTATAATTATAATATATATAGGTGTATTATTTTATTAAAACTTGATGTGATAATGGAAAAAAATGGCAACACTGCTAATTTCAGTGTTTTCATTCAATCAGATATAAATTCGTAATATTTCTTATCTAGAGTGTACCTTGCGTTCTTGATGTGATGAAAATCTGGGATTTCTTTACATTTCTAATGAAACAATTCTGTAAAAACCGTAAGAATGTCAGCCTTATATTTGAACAATGGTAAAATTGGGACACAAATCGTATGAGCACTTTCATTTCTAGTTTCTTTGTTTGCTGCTATTTTTTCATGGGAGCTGTATGAAGATTATTATCAACAGCGCTATTTTATTTCTGTAGTATCAATAAATAAGTAGTTAGTGTTTTGCTATTCTTTGCATTTTAAAAATGTAGCAAATATTGGAACAGAATGTATGCAATTTAGTTTACTGTCATAGCACAAATGGGTAATATTAAAAATACACATTCAAGTTCTGCCAACTTAAAATGTACATTAGTGCATTAGTAATGATACAGAAGTTAAAGCTTGCTCCACTAACAGCTGTAATAAACTCTGTGGTTGCTACGGAATGGATGTGTATGATAGATGCCTGTTGGGATGTATTGCTATCATCATAGAATGTGTTGTGTTGTTTTCGTTTAAGTTGATATTTTATTTGAAATATCATAGCTTCTGATCGTAAAACTTGTTTTTCATGATTTGCATTCCTTAAAATCTTGAACAATGAGCTTTCTTCAGATATAAAGCCATTATATTTTATGATGTGAATTTGAGTATATGTATGTCTCCATTTTGAGGATGTAATATTTACCAAATGGCACATACTGTAGAAAAATGATACAGATAGATAATGCATAAATTTAAAATCACATAATTATTACTTACTGTTAATGGAAGCGGAATATTACGATAACGAGCATGTCTCACCTATATCCTGGTGTATATGTGGCTTTATATATTGAAAACAAGTCGTATTTAGATTCTATTTATCTGTCGGAAGCTCATAATTTGTTGAAAGTAGAGATTCTTAATTTGCCTTAGCAAAATATTGAATATTATCTACATATTTATCTGGATCTTAAAATTATATATTGATATTTTGTACAGAGGTTTACAACATAGTTAATTTTAAGTTAAAACTGTATTTTCTTATATTTTAGTTTCTAACTCACGTATGTTGTGTGCGGAGTATAATTTTAATTCTTTCTTGTTCTAGTCAAATGACCTTATTGCGTGTCAGTATCGATATTGATTCTGTTGACTTCAATTCATCTTGATTCACCTGACACAGAATTGACTAGATTAATTAAGAATTAAAATCTGACAGTATTTTATTGGATCCAGATTCTTATGTTCGGATATATTTAATGGCATCTGTTTATACAGAAGAATTATAAATTGGTAGATTTTGTGCAGTTTCCTTCATTAGCTTACGTTTGTAAATAATATTATTTACACTTCACCAAACTCACCATTATTTTATGCCTTAAATGTATTATTATTTATGTTAATACTTTAATATTGTCATATTTCGTGCAATGTGACGCTAGGCATTTGTTGTAGTGTTCATCAATGATCTATCAGAATTAAGAATAAGATGTCTTAAATATTGTATCAATATTCCACTAATTTCTTCAATATTACCATTACTATGCGGTCCTATTGTTATTAAAACAAAATAAAGATTAACAAGCTAAGTGGTTAATATGATAATATAACCTATTTTTATACAGTACATTGTTAATCGTCTGAGATTAGTAGTGAGCATGAGAATAGCATGTCGTAGCAGTTGAAAGATTTTTTCTGCTTGTACTTAGAATGAGTATGCCAGTATTAGTTTCTTTACTTTCAACAAATCGAAATGTCTCGTCAGTCTATGATTGTGGCTTTTATACACTGCAAAAGTAATGTGTATGTGATAAACTTATCTGATTAAGATTCATTTTATTACTGTTAACCTCTAGTTTTATAGTATGTTGTAAATAATATTAGATTTTGTAAAATATATTTAATCTGGTGATCATCTAAGTACACACGGTATGTAAGGCAGTGCATTAGAATCGCTTTCACCTCACTTGTCGCCAGAAATGTGGTATTAAATAGACATTTCAAGTGGTCCAAACTTTATTTTATTATACCTAATAAGTATCGAAGTTTTCATCATATAATATTTTTGTTTTTTGCATTTACACATATTACACGCAACTTCCTTATGTGATAAGGAATAATAGTTCAAATAGTTCAACTAAACATTAGTTTTATTTAATTGTTGATACATTACTTATCAGTTAGACAGGAACACGTATTGAGACAGACAAAATTTAGGACAAAATCGTGTAAATAATTGCGCTTTATGTCATAGACATAGGTCCTGTATACATGGGGATTTTTAGCATTACTTTATATAGTATTTACTACATTAGCCTTTTGCAGACAAATTTGATGTTTTTCTATAAAATATAAAGTGATTATATGTATAGTAAATCGGATCTTAACACGAATAATTTTATAGTTATGGTTGCAGCTGTTGTCAGCTCACGACCGAAATGACTACCATTATTTACCATAAAATTATTCTTGAGGATCGATTTAGCTGAGTAATAATAAAAACAACGAAAGTTTAATAATAAATCTATATAATTCTCTTTTCGCTCAACTGTATATTTTCAAAGACACGGGTGCATAGAAGCAAGGAAAAAAAAATGTACTCAGAGAACTGATTCTCGTTTCCAAATATATATTTTTTCGTTGGCCTGATGGATTTCTATGCAACACATATCATGTGGACGTTAATTTCTTATATTTTCACTATTTTAATGTAAAAAGTCCCCCTATACACAGGTGTAATACACATATTTTAATAAAATAATTTAACTTATACTTGAGTAGTTGTTGGTACATTTTTTTTATTTCAAACAAATACATTGGCAATACAAATGTTTACATAATTACTAACAACTTTATTAAGGGTTTTTATTACAAATACTCAATAACAGGGAATTTTAGTGGTATGAAAATGTGAAATTAAAAGTAGTTTAATTAATTGTAATCAGTATAGGAGAAATGGGTTATAATTAACATCACACTGAGTTTTTTCATGTATTATTATTACATACATAAATATCATTATTTACTACCCAATAATTTCGAATTAATGCTTTGTTACAGTGGTTGGCATACAATCTAATGAAAGTAAACATTGTTATTATTACCATGCAAGTAACAATTACGTAAGTATTCATTTGATATGTTGGTTTAAAACGTCTACTAACGATACGATTTGACAATACCATATATCGGACTGGTTGTAGTCCGGACTGATTAGCCCGTCCGATATCATGATATATTGTTGGGTAGGCCCCACTGAATTGTAGATTGACTCAACAGGATACTATTAGATAGTATCTATCAAAACTAGTTACAATAAAATTTGGTGGGAGAAGCAAGTTTGTGTGGAGAGAACACGCTATTTCGACCTTTAACATGGACATGACTCCAAATCGTGTCGTCCGTAGACTTAATTATATTTCATAATGAGTGGCAATATATGGCATTGTAAAACGCTTCTTGAATATAATTGAATTAATATAGGTAAAATTATAAAATAATAACTAAGTAAAAATATAACAATGAATACTGTCAGAGATATTGTCTAGCACCTACTTCTAACTTGTAGTGTTTGATAATGTTATGCGCAGACTGGGGATATTTTGTTTGAAAGCCAATTACGTTGAATCAGCCGTGGGCTTCCAGGGACTTGTATGAGACTTTACGGACAAGAAAGTAGCCGCAGTGAAGCCGTCTAGTCTGCGCAGCCCCCAAGCGTTCAATCGTCACGTCTATTTATTCTACTTATGCTACAATACCTAACGTTATTGTTTAATTCTCAATTCCTATTTAACCCTTAAAATACATATCAAAGTATCAAACAAAGGAACATTTTGATCTCTATTAAATAATAAAGTCCTTGGTGACGTTTTTAATACGTCTTTTACGTACATTTGCATGATGGTCACACTTTGTTACCAGCACATTCTTCAGCTTTATTATTGCATATTTAATTAATAAATATTTCTACAAAATGCACAGAAAAGGCGAGGCGAATTATTACATACGTGAGATTTGTCAGAATATATTGTAAATATATAACCGTTTTATGTAATAATTTTATTTTGAAATCTGCCAACATCCACGTGTATAATAGCATCGAGCTGTCAATTAAATTTATACGATTCTTATATTCCTTGAAATAACTTCCCATTAATGTAATACGAAGTTCTAGGTGAAAGTAGACTGTAATGATGACTATTTTTTATTATCTGTCTAGGTGGATGACCATCATAAACTAATTTATACACAGAATAAAATTAAAATAGATTTAACCTATTGGCAAGTTGTGTAAAGTAAATAAGCTTACTATAATGCTACTATTATGATGTCACTAGTTAAGTAAGCAATATAAATATAAGGTAATATAAACAACTGTTTTTTTTATTTATTTATAATACCTTTCAATAATTACAAACCGTATTTTTTGTTTAAGAATTAATACTATAATAATATTAGGTTAGCAAGTTATAAGAAATAGAAGAATAGAAATAATTAATCACGCAAGGTTGGTGTCGACCACTTCGGATTTAAGTTTGGATGCAAGAGCCCTACGAAGTTGCATTGCATCTGGCGGCGGCGGTGGCGGCGCTCCGGCTAGCGCTGCCTGTGCCACTCGCGCTGACTTGGGCCTAGCGGCGCTGACACGTGATCCTTCACCTATTAAAAGTATTTTTAGTAAGAATATGAAGTACTTTTTGTCGCTCGGTTGAGTAGGTTAAAAATAGTAAATGATGATATTAAAGCCGCCCATATTTTTTGTGTTATCACGTGGAGATCGACTTAATGAATAAATTGGAAGGTTTGTTGTATAAATATGTTATAGTTATGTGAATAAATAGTATGGAATTCCATGACATATGACAATAATATTATATTTAATAAATTACGATACGTTGTTTAAACTTGTTCACAAGTTACGAGTTGGGTAAAAGTCTAAATTCTAGGAATGTTTATAGTAAACTGTTAACGACTGACCTCCAGACTCGGTTTCTACATCTGCAACTCCTAGCTTTCGCTCACGGACTCGTTTCTTCAAAGCCAACAATTTGTCTCTTTGTTGTTTCAAATATTCTTGTCGAGCGCGTACCTCTTCCTCACTTACCTAAAGATGCACAAGACAGTGGCTAAATTATCAATATCTTATGAAACAGGTGTATAGAAGTCAAGATTTTTCGGAACAATGTACACACGCATGAGGCCAATTATAATTATAATCAGGGCCGGCCATGCCGAGATTCACGTAATTACGTTCTCTTTTGAAAGTAAGTCCTTCAATACAATTTACACTATAATATACAAATTTGTGTCTGTTAGAATCCATACTAATATCCAACTAAGCGGTCAAACAGCTTTTAATATTTGCATGAAGATAGTGTGTCACAAGGTAGTTGGACAATGGTTAATCCGTCCCTATTGTAGAGTATTTTAAGTTCGGATTCTCGTTATTTACATACACTATAAAATGTATGCGTGAATAGATCTAAAAATCAAACAGATTTTGTGATAAAGTGTATGAACCTACCTCAACTTTTTGTGGAGGTGGTTTTGGTGGTTCAGTTAGAACTTCCGGTTCATCTGTATTTATCACTATGGCTGGTTTCTTTTCAACATGTTCTTCTTTCTTTTCGAAGCTTTGTAGTTTAGAGAGTAGAGTTTGTTTTTCAGCAACTACCTCCTCTGGTGGTACGCTTATAATTTCATCCTTACTTTCAAATTCTTCAAGCTGTAATCTATAATTAACATTAATCATTTAGAATAGATTTCATTCAATCATATTTTGGTAATAATGTAAATAATATAATACTTTTTAATTTCGGTCATGATCTCATCATTTTCAGGCCAACCGTCGCTTTCATCGCTACGTGATGAATCAACATCTTCAGGCTCAGAAGAAAATATATTTGGCATTGTACCAAAACGCCTTTCAATGAGTTCCAAAGCCTGGAAATAGCAATTATTTCGATTTGGTACTAAATAAAAACCAGAAATATTAAACGAATCTTATGGGAAAATAATCCTACACAAACACAAGTAGTATCGAGTTAGACTTGTACGAAGTTGTCTTTGTAGAAAAAAGTGGTTTATAACATATATTTTGGTTGAAGGGTGAGATAAGACAGTGAAATTATGGGGTACAGAGATATAACATTTTAGTTCTCCGGATTGATTTATATTGATGTATATAGGCGACGTTCACTATTTACCATCAGGTGGATGGTAAGCTTTTTGGCTATTCCAGTTACTTGCAAAGGCCTGTATGTTTAGGCATGTATTAAGGAGTTTCGTAATCCCATATATATGTACATAGTATCCATTAATAAAACGAACTTCAAAATAACGTACCTGCAGTTGAAGTTCGACATTTTTATGCGTCATCATCTTGACAAACATGTCATAGTCATTGGCGGCCCAGATTTGTTCAAATAGTCTTCGATGGAAATGTGCAGGTAATCCTGCTAAATCGCGGGCAGATAGTCTACATGCCGCTTCAAACTGATCTGCGGTGATCCCAATGTCATCCATGAACGAGCCTAACATCACATCTACCTACAACACACTCAGTCAATATTACACATGTACAAAACATTCGCTCGTTATGGCAGACTGTAATGGGGGTCTATGTTTAATAATAGACTATAAATGCCAAAAATGATAATAGTAAAAAACATCGATTAGTTCGACTTTCTTACCAAATTACGATATTCGTCATGAATCTTTTTGTACTCTGGACGATCGAGAACTTCTCCATTGTCGGTCGGTTCAAAAGCTAAAAAAGATAAAATAAAATGGAATAGTTAATTCTTTTGACAATTTGTGCGACTGATTCTGATAAACATTACCCTTTTTTGGCAGAGGACAACAAACTTATTTTTCCATGTACTTACAAACGTTATGAATTTAAATGTTCTTATAAGTATATAATATACCTACATATACAGATTAGTATAATACATACGTAAAGACTTCTCCTCTATAAAACTCTGCAAAGGAATATTCCACACTGGGCCGTGTAAGAAGCCGACAAGGGAATCAAATACCCAAGCGTTACTATCCAAGTTTTCCATCTGGTGGTCTTAATAAATATAGACAAACCAAAAACAGACTGACTATGACTTCAAATAATATATTCACAAATTGTAATTAAAAAGAGACTCCATTACACCTTTATGACGTTTATTTGTAATACTTATTGCCATGGTTACTTATAAAACGCAGTGGTAATAGCTGCATGTATTACATATAGATAAATAGCTTCCCACTATTATACGGATCCCAAGGATTATTGGTATTGATTAATAAGATATTGCTCATTGTTTAAACTTTCAAAACAGCACTAAATGTTACAGATTTCTGTTTAGTTTTTAAAAATTGAGAGGCAGTTGTTAAAGGGTACTTTTGTAACTATATAATAAATGGTTGTATAAAAATGTTATTAACTCTACAATGCCTATTCATTTTTAGTTATTGCAGATTATATTTTAAACAGGAAAGAAACATGTATATACCTTTATTAAGTAATACTTTCTCTAATTTCGAACCGTCGTCATGACGATTCTTTTTACATTCAATACAATACGTATACGCATACGTGTACAATATGTATACTGTTGGGTTAACCATTCCATTATCTTTTTTTATTTTTTATTTTATAGAGAATTTAATATATCAACTTCAATTAAAAGAATGAAGGATGCTTGAAGATGAAACGAACGAAGGATCGAATGTTTCACATCATCATCATCGTAACCAATTTGTTCGCGTTCTCTTTACGTTATGATGAAATGAAATCATTAATTCATAATAATACAAATATTCACGATTGATTTAGAATCGATTCTATTTCAATCGAGTTCAAGTCTTGATAATCTGTGGAGCAAAGTATCGTAGCGATGTGCTATGTTACAATGTGTACATCGACTGTAAAATTACGGATGTCATTGTTGTTAGAGGTAGCAAAATAATTATAAAACAATGCAGTTTTATTATTATGAATATATGTGTTGGTATGGAGTAAATCTTGTACTAACAGTGTTTTTAGAGCAATTGTTTCTTAATTATCGGAAACATAATATCAATGCCAAAATATCGACATTTTACACTGAATATCGATATTTTGCAACACTGACGAACATTGAAATTATTGATAAACATCTATTCTATTGCTAAACAAAAAATAGTAATGAAAAATTTAGACATAATTTAATTTATTACTTTCTTTTAAAGAAACAACCTTTATAGTAGTTTTCCTTTACATAATATATCACAAAGATCGGATACATTGGTAGAGCAGTGATAATTAAACTAACCTAAAAATGGGCGGAAACGACAAAATAATAGAACATGAAAACGTTAACGGCGTTGGCTTACTTCTAAAAGTGGGCAAAAGCAGCGGTTCACCAACTTCCCGTCATTTTACTATATCATTTAGGAATAAAGAGAATAGAAAAACCTGGCCTAAGCTTTCCCTGGTCTTTGCAATATTGATAAATATAATGGCGCTATTTTATGTACATATTAGTATTACAGCAATTTTAATCATAATAATTGTGCTATCATTCCTAGTATTCTTTTGGATAACACACAGCGTTCAGAGTGGTAGGTATTATCCATTTTCACTTGTAAGTAGTCTACTTAGTGACCAGCCACCGTTAAGTTTTCTAATCAGTAACCTTATTTATTTATACTTTTTATTGACCAGTTATGTATGAATTTACAGCATAATTAACAATAAAAAGGCCCTAGCCAAAGCAGATTTTACTAACCCTTACACTTGAGGAGTTTTAGTAAATATACATATAGGTATACATCATCCAACTAGTAATTCTAAGTAAAAAAATTTATAATTAGTTTATATTTAGTTGTAATTCAATTAAACCTGTAAAAAAAAGGATCATAATGTGTTTGAGGTATTTAAATAAACTATGTTGAATTCTGTTTCAGAGAGTCTATTAATTATACCTACAGTGGGTATACAGAGTACAGTGAAATATGTATTTGGCAGAGAAGAAAATTTTGTTCCATGGAGTAGTGTAGATGATGTTATTATTAATGAAGTTATTAAATTGGTAAGACAATTATGTATACCGCTGGTAAATATTTTGAAGTATTAATGTGCAGAAGAAGATATTATATGATCCATATAGCTCATTATTATCTATTTCTGCTACCAAATAGCTTTACTAGCTATATTCTGTTCTGAAGTGTGACATTTGATAGTGAAATTATTGTATATATACTTATTATTATATAATAAATTATTGAGTATATATTGTATATTGCCCCTTTGTTGCATGGGTTTTATTATAGATATCAGATTATTATAGCTATTATATTTTCAATAAATATATATTCTTTTATTTCCTAAACTTTTATTGGTTTCGGTAATAAGTTTGCAAAAAATGTTGTGACTAACTTAAGATTATAAGTATTCTTAGGCTTTATATCAGATATACCAAAATCTGGTTAGTGTCTTCCATTATTCATACTTTCAATTTTTTTCTAAGAGATGAATTCATATACTCAATTTAATCATAGTATGTTTTGCATGATTGTATTTTGAAGAATGGAAATATTTCTAATATTTTTCAGAATCGTGTACTGTATTACCTTACAATACTGGTGAAAACAAATCAAGCAACTCAGGATTCCGAAACAATAAAATTATTACCATTATTTAAGGTATGTAAAGAATATAAATTTTTCTTAAAGTTATGAGAAATTAAGATGCAACCTGAAAAACAAGAGCATATACCCTTAGGCTAGAATTTTTAATAAGTTTTATCATGGATTACAAACAAATTATAATTATTGCAGTGTACTTTTATTACAGTATACAAAACCGAGATTGCTCATGCTTGAGACAATATATACCGAGTTACAAGCACTACTAACTGAGTTTCATGTGGATCAGTCAGCTAATGGTTCAGGAGATAGAACATGAAGATCATGAAAATCAAAACTGGAAAAGTTGTGAGAGGATATTTTAAGACAAATTGGAGATTCAACCTAAGTTTTTTATGGATGATTATTAACTGCACCTGCTTATTCTAACTTTATAAGTAGATGGGGGCACCGGTGGAGGATGATAGGATGAGCATGAAGTCAGGTCCATGAGCACATCATGAATTTACCGTTAAACTGGCCAATGGGGTCGGACTCTGTTATTAACAGTCCCTTCACCTGCCATGATTAATAAATTGATTGCTAAGACTATAGTTAGGATAAGCCTAAACGTAATAAATACATAAAGCAAGATGCCTTAGGTCGCGTGCATTATTCATATAACTTCTATACTTGATGCCTTTATGTTAAATAACCAAAAATAATAGTTATGCAATAGTATGATGAAAATGATAGGTATTACATCTACACTACTACAGTGAAATCCTTGAAGCACATGTTTTAATGGAACACTGTATTATTTTTTCATTTCAGTAACTTTTGAGCTACAATTCATACAAAATTATAAATAGTTGTTACCTTATTACATCTGCATTTTTTTATACAAGACTGCGTACATATCTCAGGATAAAATCTGCTCGTCAAATTTATGATTTATCTATCCGTTTAATTGTGAAAAGCTAAAAAATACATAGTAAATAAAGTAGTTATATTTAAGAATATGCTGCATTCCATATTTAAGGGACATTAGAAATTAAAATTGTTAATTGTTATTTATTTTAGTTTTATAGTTATGGTGTATCGTTATTTGCCATTTTTATTGTAAATATTTACTTGGTTGGAAAATAAATATTGTAACATTTTTAAACATAAATGTACCTTTTTATTATTTGTTCCATTAAACGAAAAATAAAATTACCAAGTAACTATAATAAATAGAATTGTTTTCGTTATTTTGTCACTTATTTTCAAATTTCGATGACATATACTAGATTGTTACCTTAATTGAAGGAAAATAATACTTTTTGTCGGCGAAACGTATTAATTTTTCCTTTTTTGCTAAAAAAGTTTACCTGTAACTGAACCAACTGCAGAGATTCGGGTAGTCAGAGACCTTATCTATTATCGACTTCGTGCTGAATTCAACACTTCACATGTTTAAATTTTATTAAAACAAATGTAATCTGGTACTTATTGTTAGTGGAGGAACCTACCGCTACATCTCGAATTAATAAGTGTTTTTATCACTAGAATAAATATAAACTGACACCCAAAAGTTTTTTTATGTTAACCAGATTCAAACACACGAACATATCATATTTGTAGGTATAAGATTTTTTTTATAACTTCGCACGAAGTAAAAGTAAGTACTCTTTAGTGATCAAATCGACTTAGGTCATTGTTCTTTGGTTGTGAAACCTAAGCTTTTTAATTTTCTTTAATAAAAATCCATTTTAAAGTACATAGTAATTCTGAATGAATCATTCGTATATAGGTGACTCTTAAATAGCATTAGCAACTCGATTACTTATATCAAATTTAGCAATTCTGTGGACGTGTTGATGTACCACGTACTAACACGAGTGTGTGTAGATATCATCTATGAGTGATATCCGGTCTTATTGGAAATGATAAAGGCATTCGGTATATTATTAAAGATTCTACACTTCCGGTAGGTATATATATACCTATATCTACAGATATTCAGTCATTCTAATGCTGATTTCAAATATTTTTTTGTGCTGTTATAAAAAACTTTTTGTGTTACTGCTAATATGATGTTATAACACAAGGCCGAAGTTAATATCTTAAGTACGAGCGGTCTCGTCCTAATACAGTTTCATATAAATTTAAAAAGATAAGGGTCACGCACTTTTTGTATTGTATTTTGAGTTATAATATACCTACTTATGGATACCGTCGCGTACCCAATATATATATATCCGTATAGTTTTCCAAGGGCGGATTATCTTGGTGAAGATATTTCACACATTTCGTGAGAGCGTCGTGACCTAATGGTTAACCCATGACTTACATCCAAGAGGTTGTGAATTCAAAGCCGGACCTACATCAAAAAGATTATTGTCTCAATTTATATTTGTGATTGAATGTCCAGTGATGGTAACACCGATGTCACAAAAAAAATAAATTGGAGAGACGGCGGTAGGTTTGCACTCCGCCACGCCAATGATGTAAATATACCCAGCGAAATGTGAACATGTACAGTTCATCATGTACGTAACAGTAGGGGCAACGTGATTGTTAGTAATGTGGAGTAATAACCCCGTTGCTTGCAATGTACCATGTCACGTTTACCTCCACGTGGTTCCCTTAGAAACCATCTGACCTAATCTCATGGTCAGCTTATCATCCTCTACTGGTTCCCCAGCGTAAGCCGTTAGCGCAGGTGAATGCACCATTCTATTATTATCCATAAGAAAAAAACATCGACAGTTGATAATGCCTCTGACTAATCCATCTAGGTTAACAGTCGGTAGGGTATGTTATTTTCCACATGTTTCGTAATGAAAAAATATAATATTTAATTGTATGTATAAGATTAATAATTGAAGTATTTCTTTCTGTGAAACAATGCCACATCTAAGAAATTTGTTGTGGAATTTGCTATTCGCTTTCTACATAGATTCAAATTAGTGCTCCCGTTTTAGGGGATGTTTCTGTCACCGCGCTAATCTACAAACAAGATTGAGCAGTCGGATCCAAACGCTCCATTGATTTACTAATCTGTCCGCTTCCATGTACCTACCGATGCCGACTATTCCTGAGTGCACAAATTAACACCTCGCTCTCTGCCAACATGATGCAATGTGCAGCGCACGCATTTGACAAATATCTTATTATTAATTAATATTATAAACGTGAAAGTTTTTGAGTATTGATGGATGTTTGTTATTCTTTCACTCAATAACTATTGAACGGATTTTAATGATAGTTTACAGTAATATAGTTTATACATCATAGCATAGTATAAAACACAGTCGCTGTCGCTGTCTGTTCGTCCCTATGTATGTATAAATCTTTAAAACTACGCATCGGATTTTGTAGCGGTTTTTTAAATATATAGAGTGATTCAAGAGGAAGGTTTATATATATAATACATGTACACCCGTGCGAAGCAGGAGCGAGTAGCTAGTATTCTATAATTTAAATAATAAATAGTATTTTTAAGGCAAAACGTATTCTTTAAGTGATTAAGCAAAATGTATACAAATATTAGTACCTATTGTTGCTGACGTACTTATAGTTTTATATTTCATATTTAAGTACCTACGGTTTATTTGATTATATATTTTTGTATACCGATCTACACCAACACTGTATAATAAAGAACTTTGACAGACAACAACTAAAGAGGTAAAGTTTGCGAAGTTGTAGGGGGTAATATAGATCTACTGAATTGATCTCGAAAATTCTTATAGTGTTGGATAGCTTATTTATCGAGGATGCCTATATAAAGGCTAAGGCTACATATCTTTACGCTCTGATCAATAAAAGCGGAGTTGCAACGAAAAATCTAGTAAAAACAGGTGAAATGTGACACAGACAATGTGCGGGTCAACTGATTTATAATATTTAATGTTTATGATTTGTCCATCAGCTGTCGTGTCCTGTCTGTTAACTTTCGACAACTAAATAACAACGGATATTAATGTTTCTAGTTGAATTATTGCCAAAACAATTAGAACATGCCGAGAAGATGGCTATTTTATTTCTTGATTTTTATATATAAGTATGTAAATATAATTCGAGCTCATTTTCTAGATTTGTAGTTAGGGCAGCCAGCGGGTTAAGAAGTTATATCTTTATTTTTATAAAGATATACCTAACTTCTATAGAATTAGATGCAGGTGTACGTCCCTGTATGGTACCTAATAAAGTCACAACAACTCATGCCTGAAGTGTAACTATATAGATGTAGGTAATTACCCACACATATCGTTTAATTCATCCACGCAGCGACAAAACCGTTTCCTAGAACTGAACGTTTCAGGTAATGTCTAGTCGTTCGGTAACGCCTGCGAATTATCGTTTCCCATAATTATTCTCGTACAGTATTGATTTAGGTAAGTAGATGTAACGCTCCGTGCCCTACACTATAATTGATAATTATTATGCTGAATTTACATTAGCAAACTAGTAACATGAATATAAATAAATTTATTTTATAAGGTAATAATTCTCTAATTGTTAATAACGCATTAGATGTACGAGATTACAATTTGATATAACTTATGTTTAAAAAAAACCTATAGGAATCCTTATACAATTTTAGAGGCGAAAGTAAATCCGTATTTGGACACTAAAAGAAACGGACAGCGAATATAAATAATAGTTTAAATCGTTCCATGATGAACTTATAATGATTGCGCATCTCGAATATTATACTTATGCAAAAACATTTTATCTACTGTTTTAATGTCAGTCAGTAATTGCAACTTTTTTAAATACGTAGGTAGGTAGCTGATTAGCAGGCATATTCGTACTTGAAATATACCATTAGATTATTCAGAATTGAGGTATTACGTTAAACTGCTGTAAACGGCATTGTTCAGAATTTTAGATAATTATTAGCACACAATATCATAGTTTCCAGTTCCTATACAATAGCCAAATAGTACCTACCAACTAGTCAAGTTTAGCTCATACTAGCAACTTCTGTTGGCTCAAACGTGGAGTTGCATTGTTTCAGAAATTGCCTAGGGTTTACTGTGCCCGTTTAGTTGGTTTAACTGAAGATTCAACTTGGAGATTTTGTTTGGCTTTTGCTACATTATTCTGATTTGAAACGGTTACACAACCGTACCTACACAGGTAGTTAACTATTTACTAGGTATTCAGAGGCTCTGGATAACAAATATAATATCAATAATCAGTGAAGTAGTGTACAAAAGTAACAGTAGGTAATTTGTTGATGTTTGAGTCTCATAATATCTTTGAAAGTATCCCCGTGGAAAAAGAACTTGTGTAAATAGGTACTGCAATAATTGTATAGGACTCCTTATATCCGGGCCGCTGTTGGCACGATTTGATTTTTTAAAATATTTGTATTCTTATAATATTTTTAGTTACCATGGTTTTGATTAAATACCTAATCTCGATTTTTGTTTATTGCATCGACTCCATCATCCTATATAGGTATAGGGCTATATATATAGGTATACAGCCACACACAACTACAACTATGTAAGTTACCTTTTTTATATCATGTCGGCAGTGAAAACGTAATTAGGATATTTTTAAGTATATCTTTATAAATATCCTACCTGTGTTTGGTACTGGTAAATTACCTACATATACCTATACAATTACCAAGACAAACACAATAAAAACTAAGTTGTATAAATAATTTAAATTTTATTGAGGAAACAATCAATATTGTGATCATATCAATGATTTATGGAACTACGCCCAAACCGACATATGGCGATCATAAAATGGCGGCAACGTTATAAAATGGTGAAAGCGTCGAAGCGTCCTCCGAACTAATTGGCAATGCACTGTTACGAGCCGACGAACGTAATGTCAAATGATTTCAATTACTCAATTACATCCAGGCTAACCTATCCAATGTAGGTATGTTAGAATAGCTACCACAATGTAGCTATTGTAACATACAATGGGCCCAGTTTTTTATAACATACACAAGAGTGTTTTATATGCAAGGAAGTATGTACTTATGGAAAGGTTAATTATTTATTGCCCTTAAAAATAACGGGACATGATCGTTAAAATAAAATGACGTCGAAGACTCATCCCTTTTAAGTTAAAGATCAAAAGCAATGTCGAGTTTGGGTCAAGTTGTTGTACTTGATATCGGGTACTTGTATATTTACGAGAGC